CAGATATTTTACAGGTCTCCATCGGTGGCAAACATTTCCTAGGGGGACAGAATGTCACCCTGATGGAGGAACAGACACAGGCTTAAGGGGAAAAGTAAGGACAACATACAACGTGCCACTCCTCTCGGAGGTTCTGGGAGTGCCATCCATTAGTCAGCTCTGGAGGGAGAAGATGAACAGGAAGACAATTCTCAAAACACTTTCCTTCTCTCTAACACCTCCCACCACTGAAAATCAAAATAATTATCTCTAGAATAGCTTTTTAAAAGTGAGAGTAAGGCCTTCATTTACATCTCCTTCTTTTCATTATGGTGTGTGTGTGTGTGTGTGTGTGTGTGTGTGTGTGTGACAAAGAGGGAGAGAGAGAAAAAAATGGAGAGGGAGGAGGAGAGAGAGAGAGAGAGAGAGAGAGAGAGAGAGAGAGAGAGAGAGAGAGAGAAGAGAGAGAGGAGAGAGAGAGAAAGAGAGAGAAACCACATTCCACTGTTCTTCTCTGTCGTATGAGGCATAGTTTGGTCTGGTATTCTCAAAAGCATTTAAATGTGCAGATCCCTTGACCCAGGATGAACTCTGGATGATTATCTCAGAAAATCACTTAGGCTTGCAGAAATGTGTTCACGAGATGTTCATTGGAGGCTGTATGCCCTGCAATCCCTAACTTCCTTACATGCAAGTTGACTTTCTCTCCCTTCCCACTAGCATTCATGTCTGTCTTGGTGATGTATGCCTGGACCTGGAAGACTGAATGACACAGAGTAGGCGGTCAGTTAATACTTGTCCAGTGAATGAATAACACTGAAAAAAATTGGCTCCAATCTCAATGTCCCAAAACAACAACAACATATCTTCCCAGCACTGAGAACAGAGCAGAAACACCATGATGGAAGCAGAGTCATGCATGAGACCCTACAGTGTTTCTTAATGGAGGGGAGAAGCTCAGAGAGGTGACTGAACCTCCAGGTGAGGCAAGAGCATGACTGAATTTCTCTGTAGAATGGAAGGCATGTTCTTGGGACAGGGTGGACTCAAAGTCATATGCATCCACTGTATTAGTTTTGGTGCCAAACTTTGGCATTAGTCCAAATCCAGTCTCTATCAGGCTCAGCCAAGCCAAGGGGTCTTGGCTTGCTGAAGCTTGTTCTGTGTAGACCGAACAAGCTTGCTGAAGCTTGTTGGTTGATTCCTTTATCAAATGTTAAGCTTTTGAGGTCTACTTCTCTTGCCCCACTCTCCCAAGAGGGCGTTAGAGAAAAAGGAGAGAGAGAATATAGGTTAAATAGATCATAGTTATGAATAGTGTGGCTCGTATAATGATGATATAGAATTAGACATATTGACAAGGAATATCAACCTAAATTGTTGAGTAAAAGTAGCCTCTGCTATATGACAGTCTCCATAACACAGTATCCTTTATATGACTCTTGTCAATTGTCTATCATCTACCATCCATCTATGTATCTATGTATCTATGTATCTATGTATCTATCTATCCATCCATCATCTATATCACCCATCTAATCTGCCTAGATAGCAGGAGCAATATTCAGATGTTAACATTGCTTATCTCTAAGTGAAGAGGTAGAGGTCATTTTTACTTTAAAAAAATATTTCATATACATATATATACTATTTAATTAATTAGCAAATGTCATTTTTATCTTCAGGGAAAAAAGTTACTTTCATTTTAAGAGAGAGAGAGACAGAGAGAGAGAGAGAGAGAGAGAGAGAGAGAGAGAAACAGACTAAAATTTGTCATATTTCTGAACTTCAAGTTCAGGTAGGGCATTTGACCGGCCAAGCTGACTCTTTTCTGAATGGTGTCAGAATGACTAAGTTGGAACACTTATGTGTGGAGTTACTATATCTTTTTTTACAGACTTTAGTTTTTTCAGAGAAGTTTTAGGTTCACAATGAAAATTGAGAGAAAGATACAGAGTTTTCCCATATACTTCCCGTCCCTTTTCCCTTCCCCCCATGCTCACACACAGCCTTCCCCAGCATCAACACCCTCCACAGAGAGGTGTAACATTTGTTATACCAGAACCTACACTGACGCACCATCACCCCAAAGCCATAGTTTACAGTAGTGTTCACTCTTGGTGTTGTATATTCTCTGGGTTTGGAAAAGTGTGTAATGACATATATCCATCATTATAACATACAGAGTATTTCACTGCTTCTGTGCTCTGCCCATTCATCTCTCCTTATCCCCCACCCCTACGGGCACTGACCTTTCTATTGTTGAAATTACAGCTGTTTAAAAGGCAAGATTTTCTTTTGTACTGCTTTTCTCTGAGATTTGGATTTAGAGAAAACTTGGTTTCAGTCCAGGCTCTATGACATACCAGCTGTGTGGCTCTGAGCAATTGCTCTGAGCATTGAGCGTGAGTCCTTAACTATAACACAGAAACATAATATCTCTGTGTGGGTGATGAATGAATGGGAAAAAAGTGCCTATGATAATCCTGAGGAATATGTGTGTGCATGAGAGTCTGCAGACATATATGTGTGTGCACATATTTAATGTATTATGTAGAGTTAGTGTATGTATCCAGGTGTGCATATATTCATGTTATGTGTGCATGTGTGTCTGTACATGCACACATTGAATGTTTAGGTGTGTATATGTGTTATATATGCACACATGTGTGTGTGTTTATTTTGCCCTCAGTTTGCTTCCACCACATTTCTGAAATGCTTTCCTCTTAGTATAGACAGAAAGTGATACGCTAATGAGACTCAGGAGTGATAAAGGACATTCAAAGGTAGGAGAGCTGCCAGAAGGCCCCATGCTGTCCCATCAGCACATTTACCCCAGGCTCCCCATATTCCAGTCTTTCTCCGTCATTGCCTGAGTCCTGATGAGCTGAGGCCGAGCTGCCCCCGGAACAACAGAGGGGTCAGATCAAGGAGAAGTTGCGGGGTCAGCTGAAACCCCACTGTCTGTCAGGTTTCCAAGCCTGGTAGAGTGACTCACATCACGTCCATCTCCCAGTTACTCAGCTCCACATAGAGCACTTCGCTTCCAGTTCATCACCACACACAGCACACAGAATGGGGAGGGAGGGGAACAGACTTTCACCTCCTGGCATCTCAACAGCCCAGTCCCTGGTCCCAGAGGAAACAAAATGTTTTCATTCTGGCTGATTTCTTCTTATTCAACTCAAGAGAGGTTTTATGCTGCAGCAAATGCTAGGCAGTAGGAACCTCTTCAGTTTTGTGTTTTTAGATCTGTTTTCTTTCAACCTTTGTCCCCATATAAACTTAATTCACTAATGTTACACAATAGGTTCAAAATTATGAAGCTGAACTGGCAAAATATAACCGGAGTGCATAATATTGGTCCTCAAGCCACAAAAAATATGGTGTAACTTGTTGCTAAATTGACTTAATTAAATGCTTTTATTATAAGCCTCCCAAATGGTTCCTGCGGCTTCTGGAACCATAAGCTGTACATCCAACATTGTTGGCTGCTTTTCTGTTGCTAAATTTTCAAAACCAGGTTGTATTGAGATATGAACTAGAAAACAAGAATTGCATACTCTTTCCCTCCCACCTTTTTCTCTGGTGGGTAGTGCAACTTCCTGAATAATATTTTAGGAGACTCTAGAATTTTCCCAAGTGTTAAGAAAATTATCAGTTTCACAAATGAGTTCATATTTTAAACATACATAAAATTAGACAGATAGGACCCCAATGACATGTATTACAATCAAAGGGAAGATTTCCATCATGCAACAGTTTGTTTTAAACAATACTTTGAAGATAAGTAGAAATTCAGTAAAGTCTAACCCAGGGATTCTCAATTTCAGCACCATTGACATTTGGGCCACATAAAATTGTGCTGTGGGGCTGTCCTGAGCATTGTGGGATGCCAATAACCCTCGCCATCCCAGTTGTGACAATCCAAATTGCTCCAGTGATCCCACAGATTGGCCCAAGAGGAGAACCACAGTCCAACCCACTCTCAATCAGCCTCTAACTCCAATAAAAAACAAACCAGGCCATTCAATAAAAAGGAAAGAAACATCAATACATGCTGCACCATGGATGAATCACAAAAACTTTATGCTAGGTGAAGGGAGCCAGACACAAGAGACTACATACTGTGTGATTCCATTTAGATGAAATGTCCCACAAAGGTACGTCTGCAGAGACAGAGAGCAAATCAGTGGCTGCCAGTGTCGAGGCAGGAGTGGGGACTGACTGCACCTGAGCACGAGGATCTTGCTGGGGCATGAGGACATCTGAATCCGGATTATGGTGACAGATTTCACGACTTGTAGGTGCCATAAAGATCACCGAATTATACACTTTAGATGAGTGAATTTTATGGTATGTAAGTTTTAGCTTAATAAAGTTGTTTTTAAAAAAACACATGAAAAACAAACTAGGAGGGTAAAATGTATTGCAGAAGAGAATCATAACTGGAGGTAAACCAATCACAGGGATTTCCTTTAACTATGGGAGGAAGCCTCCTGAAAACAGAGACATCAAATCCCCACTTCTATCACCCAGGCGACCGTTAGAGCAAGCCCACAATATTTTGCTGGCCAGACAGCTGCACGTCTGTTAGCACCTGATGCAACTCAACGGGCTGTTCAGTCACTGCCAATATGTCTTTCTATGGAAAATATCGTGCACGCATGGTCACTCATGTTCGACATGGCGAGGAAGGAGACAGAGTGATCTGCTGGGGACTGCTGTGTAAGACATTCTGGGCTTTCTGTTAGTATATAAAGTAATTCACATTCACGATGAAACATGCCTAGGGTGACATTATATGTGGCAGAAAAGAGTTTTAAACCACCCAGGACTCCCCATTGCTCACTCAAACCTCTGTCACAGTAAAAACATGAACAAATAAAAAACCCAAACTCTCCTTTGCTGTGCATGAAATAAAGCGGTGTGACCATTTAGAAAACTTCTGGGGACTCTTACTGAGCGCATAGCTTCTTGGGAAATGTTCAGCTGCTGTGATTCACTATAAAGATACTTACTGTGTTCACTCTTTACTTCGAGGAGCGCATGACCTGCTTGGGCCTGTTAGCAGGTCGGGTGAAGGAGCTTTCCCTGGTTAAGTTATGCACATTAACTTGGCCAAATCCACAACCTTAAGGGAGGCAGCACTTAGAATGTCTGTGACTAGTCTTCACCTTCAGCTCGGGAGGCGCTAAGAAAAGGGAGAAGTTGGTTAGACTTTGGGGCTTTTGGGTGAAGGTTTAGGCAAAGGGATGTGTTGATGGTAAATTTATCCCGCCCCCCAATTTTAGCTGGGAACTGTGGGGACATGGAAGAGATGACTTCATAATTTAAATTTCTCCTTAAGGTCACACACGAAAAAGATGCTTTCTTTTTTTTAACGACTCTACATCTGATATATTAGAGAACATTGAAATTCTGAGAAATTCTGTTCAGGTTTTAAGGCCTAGTAAACTGGGGACTGAAAAATCACTCTGTACCTGAGCCAGGAGGCAGCCAGGGAGGCAGCAGGCCCCACAATGCCTGCAGCATTCCAGGAAAACCCACTGGAATGATAAATAATTCTGATGGGGCCCAATGTGCAAATGGGCTGAGGGCAGGAAGGGCGCTGCTCTCCCTGACTACACCACCAGTGTCCTGGAAACTATCCGGCAGGCAGAATGTCTGCTGTTCACTGATCATCTCTGACAACAGCACTGAGAGACCGCCAGGACAGTATCTGTCCCACGCGTGTCCTGTTAGATGCACACATCGTAATTCTGCAGTGACATGTGCTGAGCAGGATCCGGAGAACAAAGACGTTTTACATGCAAACTTATCTGAGAATATGGGAATAAATACAAGGTGACCTCACTAGAGAAGATCCAAAGTGGTTTGATTTACCTTAGGTGTTGCCTACCTCTTTTTAGCAGACAAATACATATAAGCTTCAGAAGAAGTTTGGTATGTGTTCTGTCGAGCTCTGTGATCATGCTGGGACAAAACACAAGCCTTGCTACCCGGCAGGTGCTGGTTAGGCTACTTTCCAAAACACCGAGCTGTCTTTTATTTCTGAAGAACATTATGATTTTCTGCTTTCTAATCTTTGAGTTTAAACGTACAGAAAACAAAGCAGAGGAGAGTGCTGATTCAACATCTTGACCAGGTTTATTCCAGTAAGAAAGCCATGGATATCTTCACCTTCACCCTTCTGAGATATGTCCTACTGTCTCTTTAGAATGGCTGTGACTAGTCTTCAACTGCTCCATGTCCTACTCAAACTTTTAATTTTTTTTAAGTTTATCTTTATTGTTGAGAGTATTGCAGATGTTCACTCCCCTCCCCCCCCCTTGATTCCTTCACCCTGCACTCTCCAGGCCTTCACTGAACTATTGTGTGTATCCAGGCTATGCATATAAGTTCTTTGGCTAATCTCTTTTCCCTCCCTTTGCTCTGAGATTCCTTAGTCTGTGCCATGTTTCCATGTCTCTGGACCTGTTTTGTTCTTCAGTATTTTGTTCATTAGGTTCCACATATAAGTGAGATCATATGATACTTGTCTTTCTCTAACTTGCTTATTTCACTTAGCATAATAATCTATAGGTTCCTCCATGCTATCTCAAAGGATAAGAGATCTTTTTTTAAATATATTTTTTATTGTTGACAGTATTAGATATCTCCCATCCACCCCCTTTACCCACTGCTCCTAGCCCCTAGAGATCCTTTTTAAAAAAAAATATATGTTTTTATTGATTTTAGAGAGGAAGGGAGAGGGAAAGATAGAAACATTGGTAAGAGAGAAACATCAGTCCACTGCCTCCTGCATGCCCCCTACTGGGAATTGAAGCCACAACCCAGGCATGTGCCCTGAGCAGAAATCTAATGGGTGACCTCTTGGTGTGTGGGTCAATGCTCCACCACTGAGCCACACCAGTTAGGTAAGAAATCCTTCCTTTTTGACAGCTGCATAGTATTCCATTGTGAAAATATACCACATCTTTTTATCCATCAAAAACTACTAGATTTAATAAATAAATTTGACAAAGTAGCAGGATACTAGATCAAACTTTTTTTTTTTTAAGTCAATTACTTTTCAGAGACGTGAGTTTTCTCTGTGTGTGTTTTTTTGTTTTGTTTTGAAGTTTTGGAGCAAAATAATTCTTATCTCTGGGCAAGAGGAGATAAGCTCTATGGTGTTAAAGTATTAACTTACATCTGACAATTTGGTGATAAGACTGAACAGCTTTCATTGATCCAGAACTGTGTTTCTTAGAATCTATAACCGAGCATTCAACCTGACCACCGCAGATCCCACTCCTGTTTGAGCACTTGTTTCTGTACTGTCTGACCCGACCTGAATCAGATCCCCTCCTCGGGTTTTGCTGGGTTCCTGGACGACCTCAACCTTCCCTCACTTGCAGCTCAGCCTCCTCCTGCTGCTTCCTGCACCTGCGCCTTCCTGGGTACTTCTCTTTTGGCTTCTCTTAGCTCTTCCAGCGGTGTCCCTCCCAGACAGACCTCGCCTCTACCTGCTGCCCCTCTGAATCTAGATACTGCTCACTGGCTTGTCCAGTGGGTCCCAGACACAACCGACTCGAGTCTCTGTGCCTCAAAGATGATTTCAGGATCAAAGTCCTCAAGGAAAGCACTTTCCCTGCATAAATGTATCATGTGAAGACTTCTCTCACAGAGTAGTTAACTGTGGCCTCTTCACTATTTATTTCCATTGTATTAATTCATAAATTCATTCATTGAGAACCAACTATGTCAAATGATTAAGTTGTCCTGACCTTTGTTTCTAAATTATTTTGGCAGCCTGCTCACATGAAGAGCTCGTTTTCCATTGGTTCCAGCACAGTGCGGGGCAAAGAGCGCTGGGGCGAGAGCCAGACCTGAGTTCTAGACCTGGTTCCTCTGGCCAGCAGCTAAGCGTGGGTGCTAGTAAGTCCCTGTGTTTAAGAAATGAATAAATACACGTGAAAGTGCTCTATAAGTAGAAAACACTTGATTAACCATATAGAACTGACCAAGCAAAAGTAAGTTTCTTAATTCCATTGTAGACTTCTTTTATTTGGGGGGGGGGGGGGGCGGCGAGCACCTTTTCATAATCTCAGAAAGAAGCTGATGGACAGAAAAACCAGTCTGGCCTTTTCTCCAAGAAACCTGAAAGAAAGATGCTATAAAGTAAAGCATGTATGTATTGGCCACTGTTTTCAAGGCAGGAAGACAGGGCACCTCAGCTCGGAACCAGGGTGTGCCCGGGAGCCGGGCCGTCAGCTCAGGCATGGGCATCTCGCCAGGGAGCTCAGTGTGAGCGCCTATCTTTTCCTGAGAGCAATTTCAGCATCAGAAGTTGCATCTGAGAGAAAAGTTGCTTTGAGCAACCATTTTAACTGGTACCATGAACTTTGTTCAGAGCTAGTTTCACAGCCAACAATCAGCATCAAACTCTTCTCAGAAATGAGTGTAAATTGTGAGAAAGGCAGTGAATGAGGAAATCCAGGAAATACAACAAGGCTATCAGATAGTAAGTGCATGGATTTGAGTGAAAGGTGACAAGAATAAGGCCATCGACATTATAAGAAATATATAATAGTTTAAAAATTCAAGCCACAGGAGGTTGGTAAAGCCAGAAAAGGGTGGATAGGTTCTGGTTGGGCTGCAGAAGCAATTCACAGAAGAGGACCCTGGAAAAGGCCTTTCCTCTGCACCCAAAGGCGGCCCCCGACACTCTTGAGTGGACATGTGGGCTCAGCTAGGCAGGGGTCTGGCCCATTTCTGAGAGCAGACTGGAGGCACCAATAATTTTGACTGACCGACTTAAACACAGAAAAAGGAAAGGAACATGGCAGCATGAGGTGTTTTTTTACTTTTATTTATTACTAGGGGCCCAGTGCAGGAATTTGTGCACCTTGAAAGAAACTGTGGACCGCGAAGTTGTGGTGGGCACAGGGGCAGGTCTTGACCCATCTGTGCTCCCACCTGGCCCCTCCCACCGCGGTCCCCAGTTCCACGTCTGCGGGCAGCCCTGCTCCCGCTACCCCTGCTCCCATGTGCTGATGGCTCAGGCCCCACTCGCACCCGCTGACAGCGTGGAGTGATTGGGGCCGTTGCCAGCAGTGGGTGCAAGTGGTGGCTGCTGCCCCAATTCGCCCCTCAGAAGCAGGGGAAGGTGGAGAAGCCCTCAGGGGTGATCAGGCCAGCAGCCACAGCTCACACTCACTAACAGCACCGAGCGATAGGGACCAGCGCTGGGCGCTGGCAGCAGGTGGGAAAGGGGCCGGCACCAGCAGTGGGTGCAAGCGGGTGCGAGAAGCAGCTGCTGGCCCCAATCGCCCCTCAGGAGCATGGGGAGGTGGAGAAGCCCTGAGGGGCGATTGGGGCCGGCTGGTGCGAGTGGCGGTTCCGGCACTAGCAGTGGGTGCAAGCGCTGGGTGGGACTGCGGCATGCAGGAGCAAAGAATTTTCAGTAACTACCAGAGACTTGCCCCAATAACAGTGACCAGTGCCCCACCTTGGCCAACACCTGCCATGTTCTGTGCTCTGCCACCTGCTACCGATGCCCACCATGCTCTGTGCACGCCTCCTGGTGGTCAGCGCACATCATAGAGACCGCTTGTTTGTTTGTTCCGTCGTCGGTCTATTTGCAAATTAGGGTTTTATATATATAGATTTTGCTAAACAAGCAAAAAACAAAACAAAACAAAACCACAAAAAAACAAGATTAGGATGCTAATGGGAAGGTCTTAATAAAAGAAAGTTTAAGAGGCTAACATTCCAGTCCTAAAAAATTTGACTTATTTATTTATAAGTATGTTTTTATTGATTCTTGAGAGAGAGGAAGGGAGAGGGAGAGAGAAACATTGATGAGAGAGAACATCAATTTGCTGCCTCCTGCATGATCCTCAGTGGGGATCAAGCCTGCTGCTCAGGCATGCACCCTGCCTGGAATCGAAAAGGTGACCTCCCAGTACTAATTACTGAGCAACACCAGCTGGACCATTTATTTTTAAAGAAGAATCAGAAGCACGTAGGTAAGCAGACAGGGAAAACCCTGAGGCTTCCCTTGGGTTAGACCAGGTCCTGCCCATTTCACAGTGTGCTCAGATTTCTACAGTTCCCAGAGTGCTAACTGTATGGAGCAAGGAGGGTCCTGAGCATAGTTCTAAAAATGGGGTAGGTGGGTAGGGAAGGCTTGTTCTCCATTAGAGGGCTCGGCCCATCTCATTGAACATAAAAGAGAAGGAGGCCTGTGGCTCCAAGAACATACACGTGGGAGGACAGAGGAGAGAGGTGTGAGGTGAAGAGCACAGGCCTGGTGCCCTAGGCTCTGGGTTATAGATCTGGAGGATAAGGGTGGGGCCAGGGGCCTTCAGGGGTCCCTGCTTCCATGCTTGCTCGTCTCAGGGGTGTAGTGACAGCCTGAACAAAGCAAGGCCACTGGGAGGCTCTGACAGCAGGTGAAGCAGGGAGGAGCAGAGCACACTGCAGGACCAATGACTTGACACGAGTTCATGGTAGGAGAGGGTGCAAAACCCAGCTGTGTTCCGGCCCTGCCTGAAGCCGAAGGTTCACTGGCAGGGACTTGTAGCTCATGTCAGAGAAATGCACAGTGATTTCAGCACAGAAGAAGGGCGGGTTCATGGCTGGGAATTATCAAAAATTTACCAATTTTAAATAGGTCCCATCACTAAATAGAGGAAGTAGTTTTAATAAATTATGTGTACATAGATTAGAATTCTCTCTGGAAGGCACAGGGTGGGGGGCGGGGGGAAGTTGGTAGTTTGAAGACACACTTTAAATTGGGAATTCTTTGACAAAAAGAAAGGGGAAGCTTCAGCCCCTATCACCATGTTGTGAAGTGTAGACTGTCATATACTGAACCTCGCAATAGAAGGGGAACTTCTGGAGAACACAGGAAAGGAAAAACAAAGCAGCTGTCTCAGCAGGGTCCTCGAAAATAAACAAAGAAACCTTCAATTATCTTTGAAGAACCAGAAAAATGAGAGGAACATGTGAAAAGAGAATTTTCATTATCCTTTCACTTCTGTCTCTATAGGAAAAATGAGTTGGCCAAGTCTCAGGAGATGTGAGAAAACCAAATGAGAATAGGGGACAGGGCCCACCGACACTGGCCACAGCGAAATCAGATGGGCTCCCAGGGCCTCCAGCATTTCCTAAGAAAAGGGTGCTGATACAGAAAGAAGACAGTGAAGCACATTAAACTGGTTTTGTTTTCATGAAGGACCTTATAAACACAGGTGCATACTTACTGAATTTGACACCAGGTCACTTGTGTGGCAACCAGTAACAGCTGTGGAACGAAACAAAGGATAGGAAGATAGAAAAGAAATACATGCTGTGAAAACCTT